CTGAAGTGAAAACTGCTTTCCTCAGTAAACACAAGGATTTTTTTTTAAAATCAAGGTATGGCCTTGTTTTAATAAAGCTCAGCTGCTGATATGAAGTGTTTCTGTGAAATGAATGTGAAATATAAAACTACTCACAGATCAGCCAGCTTCCACAGAGACTGGAAAGTGCTCTCAGGAACCTCTCTGATCATGTTGTCCTCCAGTACTCTGAACAGGAAAGATGGGCTGTCAGATACCATAAAAAATGTTGGCTTATCTCAGTGGAGTGGACACCCACAGCAGCTGGAGACACAACTAGGAACCAACTGGACTGTGACAGACTCACATGGCGAAGCCTCAAAGGTTTGGCCTAATAAAACTTTCTGCAAAAGTTCGCCAAACTTTTGTTTTTAATAAATGTGCATATGCTTTAGTGTCCTATAGAAACATTCTGACTGTGTGTGTGTGTGCACGCCTGTGTGCATGTGTGTGTGCACATGTGTGCATGTGTGTGTTTGAACAAAGTCTAAAAACATCAGTTCAAACTTGTATTTATTTATCAACTGACTGAACATTTTGAAGGATACCAATGTAGTTACTGCTCAAATTTCACTCAGCAATTTTGAAATATTTAAGCTAAGAAGAAGAATACTTAGAATGTAATGTATAAACAATATACAGTGTGAAAAAAAAAAGAGATCACAATAAACGTTCAAGCTCACCATGTAACCACACACCTATGTCTCTCACTCCCTATCAAGTTAACGACAGGCAGACAAAATCAGACTGAAAATAAAGCCTCAAGCCAAAAGTCACTATTCAAAAGAGAAAAGTTGTGTCATAAATTCTTAAACCACGAGCAGCAGAAAACTAATCCATTTTCATGTTTTTACTGTGTTTAATTCAGAGGATTTGACAAGTTAACAAGACCTTTCTTTTCCAGATTTAGGAGCTAAAATAAAAACCGTTCTAGAATTGCACCGCTCGGGGTGGCTGCATGTTGGAGTAGCTCTGTTACATTCATTCTGAGTTATTGTGAAAACTTTAATTTCTCTTTTTACTGGATGTTTATCGCTTTTTTCTGATGATTATTTCCTCTGGTATCAGATGCTGTGCAGCTGGAAGGATTTTTACTGAAACCTTTTTACTTTTGGGCATTTGTTATGATGCGTAATGGCAACAAGGTGTTTTTTTTAAAAACCAGGACTAGCTGATTAACATCTCAAAAACCCAAATACCTCAACTACAGCCCCAAATCTCAAATGAGTTGAAAAGGAGGCGTCGTGGACGAATTCCCGTCAACCTGGCGGTGATGCTCAAGTACCTGACCGCTGAGATCTTGGAGCTGGTGGGAAACTCGGCTCGTGACAACGAGAGGACTGAGATCATCCCCCGGCACCTTCAGCTGTCTGTCCGTGGTGACGAGGAGCTCGGCAGACTGCTGGGAGGAGTGACCATCGTTCAAGAAGGAATTATGTCTGGCCAGGAGGACTGAGAGGCCCACCGGATCTGACAAGAAGCTGGATCCAGGTGGACAGATCGGTATCTGGGGGCCAGATTCTTAGGATTCACTGCAGGAGATCCTTCCTGCCTACAGCTATCAGCATCTAACAACTCTTGAATGAAACCAGGATGATGAGCTACGACGACACTTAATTTCCCTTTGGGATTAATAAAGTATTTTTGAATTGAATTGAATTAAAAGTCTGTGTAAGCTTGTGTGAGTGCCGGCTATATTTTGGGAGTGTCTCCATCTTCTACTACTTATGGGTAATTGGGTAGAAGATGTAATAGATCCAGCAGAAAAACCCAGACATTTCTCTCCCCCAGGAAAACTCTCTAGCTCCTCCTAGGGAACCCAAAACCATTCCCAGGTCATAAAAGATACACAATCCCTCCAGCGAGTTGTGGGTCTGCCCTGAGGCCTCTTGCAATGCCTGGAAAACCATCAAAGGGAGGCATCCTAATCAGATGTCTGAACCACGCCAACTGTTTCCTTTGATGCAAAGCAGCAGCAGTTCTACTTTGAGCTTCACCTGGATAATGGAGGTCCTCATTCTAACTTTAAGGCTGAGCCCGGCCACCCTACAAAGGAAGCTCATTCCAGATGCTTGTATCTGGTATCTTGTTCTTTTTGGTCATGATCCAAACCTCATGATCACAAAAGGTTGGAAAGTAGACTAGTAAATCGAAAGGTTTGCTTTTCGACTCAACTCTTTCTTCACCATGACTGACCAAAGCAACACTCTCATTAAAGACGATGAGGCCTCAATTCATTGTTCCATCCCCCACTTCATCTTATCATAACCCGTGAACAAGATGTGCAGATACTTAAACTCCTCCTGAGGCATTCTGGTAAAGGATTTGAGAGAAAATCACAAGTTCTATGGCAGTGAGAGCTTACAGGGTGAAAGAAGACAAAAAATCCCATATTTCTATGTTTAATTTGTTTTTGTACAAAAGAAAAAAGTTGTGGAAATAGGAAAAGTTTATTTTTCAAAGGTTTGGTAATTTTTAGACATTCAGAAACTGGACACGTCAACATACATCAGTTGTCAATTGAACATTCTGTGGAAAATTTTCCAAAATCATGAAGCTTAAACTGTGATTATGTACAAACCATAAGATATATCAAAATGCCAGTTCAGACATGTAAAGTTTTACTTTCTGCGGCCCATTTAAACTTTGAATGATGTCTCTATGAAGTATAGATGAGAAGGAGACCTTCAAATGTGGCTGGGTTTTCTTTTCTGCCAAAATCTTATTGATCTGCATATTTTTCCCTCGATCTTGCAAGAGAGGACAATAAATATGAATCCAAGCGAGGAAGGGTGGCATAAAACAGAAAGGCAGGAAGAGAAGCAAGCAAATAAACACAAAGAGGACAAGGAGACAATTGATCACACCAAAACATAATTTTATTTTTATTTACTGCCGGAGCAAACTTCAGTGCACTGAGATAAACTCCACTCTGTAAGATACAATGGTTCTGTACAATAGTCCATACATCTGTGCTAAAAATATGGACTGTCATACTTTATCACCACCCATCCATCCATCCAACATCCATCCACCCATCCATCTATCCATCCATCTTTTTTTTTTCTTGTTCAATTACAAAAACAGAAATGTGTGAAATTTATGAAAGGAAAACAACATGACTCTGAGGTCTGATAAACATCAGGGCTCCAGTAACTCATCCCAGAGTCTTCTGGCTATGACAAATCACTGCCAAATTAAAGACAGCTTGCTTGACATTGGCAGTCTGGGTAAAAAGAAACAAGGAGCATCACAGAGGTGACAAAGGTTCCTCAAACGCCATCTATGTTAAGGTTAAGAACTTAATATGTTACTTGTATTAGATAGCTCGTTGAATATTTAGACAGTTTAATTTAACCAAAATGATGAGCTAACAGCTAGTTTCAGCAGGGAAAAGATCAAAGTAGATTACTGACGTCCCAAAGCAACACCAGTCAAAAAGATGTAATAATGAACTACACCAACAGTAGAATTTTAAACCTTTACATCGCTGTTAATTTCACATTACATGGTTATTCAAGATGAAATATTATTACTATCTGTTGGAAGTGTCTCTGACTACACCAGAAGTGCTACAGCTAGCTGCAGCTGCTGCTATTTGCACTTGAAAATAGTCAGAAAATTCTATGTAAATAATTGTGTGATGCAAAGACAACATGAACTGACATGTAGTCTGTTCCCGTGGTTCTGTTTTAAGACCATAAATTCATTCCATTTAGTCGTCCTCACTTGCAAGTAGCTGTTGTTTCAAATGTCAGATCAGAAATAAACTCTGTTCCCCCAAACTGTGGACATTAAAAAAAAACTATCTACAACAGTTAAGATATTAATTGTTCATAACCTTTCCACCTAAACCCCACCTTAACAATTTGAACCATTGCTTTAAGGCTTAGTGTTTATGTTCTACCTCAATTCATATTATTTTATTTAATTAACTAATCTTATCTAAAGAGTTATATTACAACAGTCTAGTTTTGCTTTACATATTACCCATATGCTTAGTATTTTCATATATTATTTGCTATACTTCACCTTTAACATGAATATAACGTCTATGCCTGAAAGGATATTGTTCTGATAACCTGATGCATGCTCAATAATCCAGGTGCAGGTTCTGATAAGCTCTTAAAATTTGGTTAAACTTGTATAATATTATAACTATGGAACAGCTGCAGCTTAGAGCGATCTATGACTACTTCAGTGGACAATGTCCTTGGATTTTTCCTCAGATCCATTTTTAAAACAACTCAAGGACACCTTGCAAACTAGTGAGTCACGGTAGCTACATCTGGTTTTTGTACATCCTCTGCTTAAAACGTAAAGAAAAGATTGCATCTCTGAACTTGTATGTCTGTCAAAAAGAATGTTCAAGGTATTCATCTATGTCCTACAAATGAAATCTTCCTCTTTGTTCTTTATAACAAAATCAGTCAGAAGTAGCAAACACATTTTCCTCTAAATGATGGATCTCATTTTGGTGTGGCTTTAAACTGTAATTTTTCCTTTGATATTCAGCGTGATATTCATGTACGGTGACACTGAGGTGAATCAGTCAGTGTAAAAAGGGCTCCCTTCTTAAGAGGAGCTTGGAAATAGCATAAATTCACATCCTTGAAATGAACCAAGAGAGCCTTTCCTGTTTTATTCTTCCTACTAATCACTGCTCAGGTTCTTCTGACGAGCCCCATGTGGTGAGCAGCTTTTTAAAGCCTCTTACACCACTTTGGTCTGATTTATCTGAACAAGCATACAGCAATGCAGTCCATCTTTTTTATAGTAGAGAAGCACTCTGTCTCAGTAGTATCTTGTGACTTTTGTTAGGAGATAAATGTTCTACGTTGCATATTTGCTTCTCTATGTTTCTGCTTTTCTGTCTCACTAAGTGTTTAAGATAATGCAGACACATTTTAAGATCAAAGATAACGAGTAAAGACTAAATACAGTTTAAAAATATTGTTTTTATTTATTAAGAAACAAAAAGCTAACCAAATTATCCTGGCTCTGTCTGAAAAAGCAACTGCCCCCCCCCCCCCCATTAAATCATGAATTCAATGTTTTTGTTTTTATTTTGAAAACCGAGTTCAGTTTCACTCTGACTATTGCCAGACCTGTAGAAACAAGACATCACTTAAAAAGAGCCATTATCCACAAATGGAGAAAACATGGAACAGTGGTGCACCTTCCCAGAAGGAGCAGGCAGACCAAATTATTCTGGGAGCGCATCGACATCATCCAGGCGATCCAAAAATGATAAGAAAGACAGGATGGGCACAAAGCCTGTCTTATATGCCAAATAACATCTTGATGATCCTTGAGACTTCCGAAAAATATTCTGTGGACTGACAGGAAATAGTGCAACATCTTGGAAGGTGTGCGTTCTGTTGAATCTAAAAATAACTGTTTCAGAAAAAGAACAGTTAAACACAGTGGTGGTAGTGTGATGGTCTGGAGCTTCTTTACTTACCATTTCTCATGAGACCATGAATCAATGTCAGTCAGCTCTAATTGAACCTAAATAAATCAAAACCCATAATTTTTGATGGAAAATTGCAGACCATCAGTTTGTGATGTTAGGCTCAAGAACAGTTAGGCTCTGCAGCAAGACAATCTGAAACACCACCTAAATTCCTCCACATCCACGTAAGACTTTTTGACATATGTTGCAAATTGATTCCAGTTGTTGCCACCACGAGTGACACAGCCAGTTATTAGGTTTGTATTGAGTTTTTTTTTTTAACTAAATTAAATCATTCTTTAAAAACTGCATTTTGTATTTACTCAGGTTATCTTTGTCTGAAATTCTTAACAAGGTTGAGCCAGGTCCTCTGGACAGATTCTTCTTTGCTGAAACTTTTTGTCTTTTATCCAGAAGACTTCAGTCTGAGGAGCTACAACAAATAGCCTCAGAAGCAGCACATTCTTTCTCATAGTGGATCAACCAGGTTGCTGGGGACAGCCAAAACTGGTTGTTCACATGCAAAAGGAGGACCATCAACCTAATAACTGATCATTAGTGCCATGATGGCCGCTTGCTGTTCACAGAGGTCTGAGTGATCCTAGCAATAACAGCAATGTAAGAGGGGAACAATTGGACATGGAGGCCTAAGCCCCTGTTTAATGAAGAATGGTTCTCTTCACAAAGATGGCTTCTTTAACTCCTCTCTCAAACATCTCTTTGTCTGATATTATGATCCAAAACATTTTAGTGTGACAAAAACGCAAAAACTGAAAAATCTCTGGGAGGGATTATCAAAAAAATAAAAGGTTAAAAACCTAAACATTTGGACTTTTATCGGTAGCTGAAGATGTTTCGATTCACACCAGGGAGGCTTTATCAATTCAAAAATGTCTGGAGTGTGTGGAGTTCCAAGCTTCATAGAGCTGCATGAGAGGCCTTGTTAGATTCACATGCAGGTTAGACTGGAACTACTCGCCCCTCACAATGGAGGATCATTGGGCTTTTTGTTTGCCTGACTCACAGAGATGTTTGATCACAAGCTTGAAGATGAGAGGTCTGAACATTCTTCACTGCACTGACCTGCAGACACCACACCGCTCAGTTTAGGGGTTCTGTCCTTGGACTGGTCCAGCCTCTGTCTGAGGGTCCTGTTGGGTATATCTGTATCAGTATGTTGTGTTTGAAGAAAATCTTTTGGAGAAAAATATTCTCGCTTATGTTTACACAAAAAGAAAAAGTAGATTTTTAACTGGCATTTTACTTGCAAGGCAGATTTTCAGTACAGGTTACATAAATATACATAAAATGTACACATATGAATACCAGTCACAAGAATCTGCCATGAGCTTCTTCGCTTGTTTTTATGTCCTTATCAGTTCAGCTGAGTTCACAGAGCTCAGGAGGTGTCCTTGGAGCCAGTTGAAGCCTTCTCACCAAGTGCTCTCCACTAACTCAAACATATGGGTCATGGGCAGAGATAAGGTAGTCCCTGGGAGACGGCTTTGATTATGTCTTGGGTTTCTTGTTCTCAGCTATAGTAATAAAAACATCCATATCCTTTGACCAAAAATTCTCTGACAAAATCGTTTTGAGTTTTTCAGATACTCCAGCAACGTATGATATGACAATGTTTTTGAGTTTGCTCTTCTCCTTGTTTTGTACTGCAGTGTTTTTTTCTTTCTGATTTGACAAAGGCCCATTTAGGATATCCACATGTTTGGAGAGCTTCTTTCATGTGCTTTTGTTCCTTTTCCTTCCCTTCTGTCTTTGTGGGAACATGTTCTGCTCGATGGTGTTCTAATGACAGAAAGTTTATTGTTCCACTGGGTGGTGAGAGTCAAACATAAGATACTGATCTGTGTGAGTAGGTTTCCTGTAAATCTAACATGGTTGAGTCAGGCCCTCTGGACAGATTATTCTTCAGACTGAAGAAGTCTTTTGGATAAAAGACAAAACATTTCAACAAAGAATAATCTGTCCAGATGATCTGACTAAACCTTGTTAGATTTATCTACTTGGATTAGTGAGCATGCATCATGACGTTTCCTGTAAATGTCAAAATTGAGGCTTCCATCTCTTTCCATGTTAACCAAACAGTCCAGATAAGGCTGCTTGTTGTTGTTGGTGTCCTCTCTGGTAAACTTGATGTTGTTGTCCACAGAGTTGATGTACAGGTATCTGTTGAAGGCTTCTACTTCTTTTGCATGGATTTAGACCGAAGTGCCATCTACATATCTGAACCAAGTGGCTTGGTACAGATCTTCGGGGACAGCTGTGGCTGAGTGGTTAGAGCAGTCATCCTCCAATGGGAGAGTTGGGGGTTGGATTTCACCAGCAGTCACATGCTAAAGTGTCCCTGGGCAAGACACTGAACCCCTCATTGCCTCTGATGCATGTCCAATCAGTGTATGAATGTGATTTAAAGCACTGATTAGTCTCTACAGATTCAGATTAGCTTTGTAAAGATACTGTATGAATGGGTAAATGAGGGCACGGATTGCAGTGTAAAGCACCTTCAGTATCTTGATAAGATAGAAATGCGCTATATACAGTAAGTACAGTCCATTTATCATTTGTCTTTAGAAGGGTATAAATCAGGTCCAGGATGAAAGTGGTCCTTTGTTTAGGTCTTCAAGATTATGATATCTTGCTATGGTCAACAAGATAATGACCTTAACAGCAGGACCAATTTCACCCCAGGGAAGATCTGTACCCTGCTGGGCTACTTTTCCTTTCCACAACTTATTTCAAGTTCAACGACAGCTTTTCCAGACAGAAGTATGGTTGTGTCATGCATGGGATCTCCAGTGTCACTGATTGTGGTCAATCTCTACATAAAGAAAAAGGAAAAAAAATAAAAAATAAAAATAAAAAACAAACAAACACTGGACTCCAACAAAGTTAAATCAGGTCCTCTGGACAATTTCTTTTTATTGAAACGATTCATCTTTCATCCAAAATACTTAATCAGTCCTCATTCATGAAGTCTTTTGGATGAAAGATGAAATGTTTCAACAAAAAGAAACCGCCCAGAGGACCTGACAACTTTGTTGGATTTTTTTTACCTGGATTATTGAGCATGAACTTTGATGTTTTGAAAACACAGGGCTATTTTAAGAGAACAACAAGTTACACAATAGAAGTCCAATTGTTGTATTTTTTTTTATTTTAACTTTTTTTTTTTTAGATTTATCATGTCCGGATGACTGAGAATCTTCACCAGGACACTGTGAGAGATTAAAAAAATACATTTTCCCAGCAATGCAGATGTTCCTTTTCCATTAAGGCAGCCAAGAAACAACAGGGGGCAACAAATCTCTATTTTATCCAAGTTCTGAAAAGTGCAAAAAAATGTGTAAGCAAGTTACTGCACTGAACATTTGTTTGGGTGTAAATGTTTGGATTTTTCTTCAGTAGTTGCAACTAACTATTCAGACATTTAGATGGGACATTTTGTGCTAATCTGGTTAACTGGGGGCAAGCTGCGGATCAGTTAGTGCTGTGCCTCTGTACACAAACAGGAGTCAGTTTATGTGGAATTTAGTGGAAACAATCATGTTTTGAATAGTAAAATAAGTTTGAGTAGTTAGTTGTAAATGTGCTTAATAATAAAAAATGTATTAGATTATGCAGAGGTCAAACACTACACAAATGACTGGAAACAAATCCTTTCAAAGCCTACCATTTCTTTCTTTTATTTTACATCAAAGAAAAATTATCATCAAGAGAAGACTGTTTATGTAAAATGAGCATGGACAAGCATCCAACCAGTTTATCGCTTCCTCAGTTTAATCACATTTTACTGGCTTAGACACGACAATTTAATATTTCAGTTACACTGGAATAACCTAGTGTTTATTCAGCTGAAGCTTCAGGTCATAAAGATGCTGCTGTTTTCAAAGTAAAGCTGTGTCAGTCTGCTAGAGCTCTAAAAATATTCAGCTCTTCAGCAAGTTCTCTCTTTTGGCTTAAGGAGCTAACCACTGTGAGAAAGTTATGGCCACCTTGCACCAGGCCAGACAGCTTTTCAACTGCTATGAAAAACAAGCTGAGTGGTAAAAATACGGCCCTGAAACAAGGTGAAAGCATCGATAGTCACTTAAAGAAGAAAGCTCTTCTACACAAGACAATATGACATCCAAAAAGGTCAAAATAACAGCTGTAAAAAGTTGTTAAAGTTGCTGTGAATCTCTCAAGTGGCCTCAGCTGAAAACTCCATCACTGAGCTTCATCTTAGCTGAGCAAAATATGCATCAACTTTAAAACTTCTGACATTTGAACTGCAGCATTGCTGTAAATCCCAGGTGAATTGTGCTCCACAGTTTATTATGCTCCAGACATTTCAAAATGACATACTCACAGGACTTCAAGCTTGCTGCATGTCTTTAAGATAGAGTAGTTGAGAGTTTGAATCTGGTTTCCACCAACATCCCTGGATGCAGAAAGACAGGGCACAGAAACAAGACAGTGGACAGGAGATGGAGGAAAGAAAATGTACACTTAGCTAACGAGATACACAAATATCTGAAATGACAGCTGCAAATCTACTAAACTGTGGCATGAATCAAACTGACCAGAATGATGGGCAATAATCAATTAAATTAATTATATAGCTAACGTTTCATACATTTTTAGGTGTACAGTAAAACACTAAAATTACAAGCACTGTGAGCAGCCTTATTAGATAAAAAGCTGTTGAAGAGGTGTAGTCAATAACACAAAACACAACAAAGTAGACACACAATCTGAAGATTTACACACTGTTACTGCCAGACCGGAGGCGATGCAAAAGTGAAAATACTTTGATCTTTTGATGTGGGTTTTATGAAAAGATTATGAACAATATCTGTTATAGACTGCTTTTGAAAGGCTCTCAAAGGAAACTACAGTTCATCTGACAGGACTGATGAGCTAGTGACTAGTCTGAGCACGGCTAAAAACACGGTGAAATTCTGCCACCTTAAAAGAACTTCTTTTTAAAAGCATATAGCAGTTCATGCAGACTATTTAAACATTACATTGCTCTCAGTTTTATATGAAACACATTTACAGATAATTCTATGGTTAATTTCAAGAACAAATAACAGCTGCAGCTAGCTGTAGCACTTCAACACAAGACACTTCTTAATGGAAAGTTAAAATATTTCTGCTGAAAGAACTGAATAATGTCAAAGTGACAGCAGTGTGGAGGATTTTAAATAACCCAACAAAGTTAAGTCAGGTCATCTGGATGGGTTCTTTCTTTTTTGTTGGAAAGTTTTGTCCTTCATCCAAAGGACTTCGTCAGTTCGAAGAGCCACAACAAACTTAGTCCCACGAGCAGCACACTCACATAGTGGGCCAACTCTTGTCTTGTAGATAAGGTGAATTTGTTGAACTCTGAGACTGTGGATGCTTCTCCTGTTTGCCACCTTCTCCTTTTGTTTGGATCTAAGAATTACTAACAGATCTCTCTTGCAAATGAGTTCTCGTGACTCAGTGTGACTAACCTGTATAAATAAAGGTTGAATGGGGAAAAAAAAAAAAAAAACAGTTTGCTGGTGATAAGATTGTTTCTGGAGCCCGCCCACTCCCCCATTGATTCTTCTGAGGATGTCATGGCCAAAGTGGTTCAAAACATCAAAGTCCATGCTCAATAATCCTCCTCAGACTGATAAAGTCCTTTGGATGACGAAATGTAAAAAAAAAAAGAAGCCATTCAGATGACCTGACTTAAATTTGTTGGATTTTTTTACCTGGATTATTGAGCATGAACTTAGATGTTTGAACCACTTTGGCCATGGCTGCCTCGGAGGAGTTGACGGGGGAGAGGGCAGGCTCCATAAACCATCTTATCACCAGCAAACTGGTTGGTCCACTATGTGAAGGTGACATTTGTGGGACTGAGTTTCTTGTGTCTCCTCGGACTGACAAAGTCCTTTGGATGAAGGACGAAACATTTCAACAAAAAAATAAAAGAAACCGTCTAGATGACCTGACTTAACTTTGTTGGATTTTTTTCACCTGAATTATTGAGCATGAACTTGATGTTTTTAAAATAATCTTTTCATGAAACTCAGTGTAATATTTGAGATTAGAGTTGGTCTAAGATGACAGCAGTCCGCTTTAGCCCCGCCCTGATCAGACTATTCATTGCTTGTTTAAAACGCTATCTACACCAGGTAAGATATTAATTATTAATAACCATTCCAGAGAATGTCTTGTAAAAGATTTGAACGCTCTACTTAAAATAATAAAAGAGTGTGCCATTTTAAACTTTATAAACTTTTCAAATCAGTTTATTTTTACTTGCATAACTAATCAAAGACACTTTTTTTTTAACTGAAGCTTCAGCATATCAGTGCACAACGTTTGTTTAATCTGATCAGAGACAAAGTCACTTTTGGTAAAGTATTTCTTTTTTCTGTTGCTAAATATTGTAAAATGAAGAAGGAAACAAATTTGTGTGGTATGCCGTTGGAAGGAAAAGCAAAACAAACATGACAAAGCTGAGCAAATGTGAGTCCTGATCTGGAATCTGCTTCTAGCACACAGACAGAAAAGCTCCAGTCAGGAGGTCACTGCGAGCGACGGGCCCATATCCTCTCCACACTGTCCAGAAATAACTGGTCAAGTCGACCGGCCGCAGTGACATCAAGACATCAAGAGGTATATCAGTCTGAAGCACCGCTCGTCAGAATGATAACTGACACACACACGCCTCCTAAAACCTACTGAGTCACCTACACTACACACCTGAATACACATGCACACCGTCAGATTAGACTCACAGCAAGTGCAAGGCAGGCATGTGTTGACAGAAGCTTGGATGGAGCTGCAGCAGCGAGGTGTGCACCATGGACCTGAAAAGAGACAGATGACATTTTATTGTAAACAAAACAGTAGGAGATGGATTTCAGATGTGTGACTGCTGCTGTAGTATAACATCCCCTCCTGCCTACAACCTGCAAAGATGAAATGACACAAATATTGGGTTAACTTGAATTTAAACTGAAATAAAACAAAGTCTACTTAAATAAGCTCATAGGAGAAATCGTACTGTAGCTGAATAAAATGTAAAAAGTCTAGTTTTTATTAATAGTAATTGTGTGTGACTGCTGATGAGGGAGGGATTGACCTCATGTCCTCCATTTTTTGTATTTGTTGTTTAGTCACCAGGTTTTGAAGATGTTCAAGTGGTGTTCACGATGTTTAGCACATTAAGAAACAGTCTTTGTACAATCTGCATTATGTGCTTCCGAGCAGTCCCCAATGCAATGCCAGACCCTTTCTTTTATTAGCTCAGTTACTTTGAGTCATCAGCTCAGATGCTGCTGCCCAACACACACAGCACTTTTCAAAGACTTCTTTATAAAATATGCAACATCCTGCTGCAAACAGTTTAAAACCTCCTTCAGAAGGAAGGTCACACTACACAGTCTTAGTGGTATTTTTAAAATTTTACTTATTTGTCCTAAAACAAGGCAGCACGGTGGCGCAACTGGTAGAGCTGCTGCCTCTCAGCGAGCAGGTCCTTGGTTCAAACCCCGGTCCAGGGGCCTTTCTGGGTGCAGTTTGCATGTTCTCTCCGTGCATGCGTGGGTTTTCTCCGGGTACTCCGGTTTCCTCCCACAGACCAAAAACATGCATGTTAGGCTGATTGGTAACTCTAAATTGTCCCTAGGTGTGAGTGAGAGAGTGAATGGTTGTTTGTCTCGTGTGTCTCTATGTGGCCCTGTGATGGACTTGCGACCCGTCCAGGGTGTACCCCGCCCCTCATACACAGTGATTGCTGGACATGGGCACCAGCGACCCCCGTGACCCAAAATGGAATAAGCGGGTAAAGATAATGGATGGATGGATGTCCTAAAACAGTATAAGTGTTTCATTTATTTTTCCTTGTAGTAAAAGCTAACAGTAACAGTCCTAGTCTTCTTCACATACTAAGATGCAGAGGTTGTACCCAACTTCTTTATGTTTTGGTGTCAATGAGCCAGACATTCTCGACATTAGTGTTCTTCATCAAGACTTTTTGAAGGTTTTTACAACTCTTTTCTTTAGACTTTGTCCTTTTTTAAAATCTCATTTTTAGTCTAATACAAATTAACTGTCAGAGGAATATATTTTATTTTTAAACTACAAAGTAATTAATGAACTCATTCAATCAAAAAAGCCACTAAACTCAAGGGATGACCCAACACATTACACATAATACATACACAACACATATTGTGTCAACACATAACAATTTAGCAGTGAACTGATTTTAAATGGAATATTTAGGCATTTTGTTACTAGCAGTCTGTCACAAAGACACATCCCCAGTTATTTAGTTAAATCTGTGAAAAATACCAAAAATAATTTGACATGAATAAAAATTTGAGGCCAAGAAAATGATTACCAAAGACTTATCATCTGAACAAGTAACAGTAGGTGATCAGGTGAAGGAGGATATATCTCTTTGGTATTAATAACAATTTTAAAAAGACTTTCAGATATGGTTAACTGTAGATAGTTTTAGGTCTGATACTACACATGTCCTCCACATGTCCATATTCTTTATTTTAAACACAATATCCTGTCTTGGTGAGGTACAAAAGCTGTACAAAAATGAGTGAAAATGCTGCCAAAGTCCAAAGAAAAGCTTTGAGATCTTCAAAAAAAATCTAGTTCAATGGAAGCAAATTACAGATACATAAGAAGTGGTCTAAAACTTTGGAACGATATTATACAAGACAAGAATCATCTCTTTACTTTTCCTCCAGCCTGTCTCTGCCACACATACTCCAAACTGCAGAAATATTTCAGCTTTACAGCTGACCATACTTTGATTTGGTCAGGTTGTCTGCTAAATATTTTACCTACAGAAGCCGAGAAGCAAGAACTAAAAGTGTTTAAATTGTTGCAACCACAGCCAACCATGTTTTTAAGTCTGTCCATTACCGTATAGTTTTATTTGTGTTATCATCACGGCTTGTTTTGACACACACAAAAAAAATCTGTAAATTATCTCAGGATTTTTGAGAATCTGAGTTGGCGACAATGCACATTTATCTACAAATAAATTTTAAATAATACTTTTTGGCACTTTTTCTTCGGGCACTCCGGTTTTTCCCACAAATCAAAAACATGCATGTTAGGCTGATTGGTAACTCTAAATTGTCCCTAGGTGTTAGTGAGAGGGTGAAAGGTTTTGTCTCGTTTGTCTCTATGTGTCCCTGTGATGGACTTGCGACCTGTCCAGGGTGTACCCCGCCCCTCGCACAGTGATTGCTGGACATGGGCACCAGCGACCCTCGTGACCCAAAATGGAAGAAGTGGGTAAAAGATAATGGATGGATGGACTTTTTGACACTGAAAGATTTTTAAAAGAATGTTTTTTCACAAACTCAAGGACCCTCATGGACACACCATTGGTTATGTATAATAAGGTAAAAAAAAAAAAAAGTCTGATAATAAACTGAAAGTTTGATGTTTTAACTTTTGCCTGCAAACAATGTCAAAGTTTAATGATTTGGAGACATTGACAAGTTTTGTCTTGTAAAATGAATAATTGATTCAGAATGTACGCTTTCTCTACAAGAACTCTGAAGCTCAAGAACACATCTGCCCTGCACGAAGTTCACTTCTTCCCATTTATGTCGTTCTGCTGGCAGTTTTACCAAGAACTGAATCTAAGTCAGACTTTTTTAATCTGGTGTGTCAGCACTGTTGTTTCCTGACCTAACGTGTGCTGAGAGACTCATCAAATGTAGCCGCTTTAAAGGAAACTGATGTGATTGTCAGTTTGGAAGGATTATCTCCAGTGTCTCCAATTGTCACTATGTTTGTGGCCGGCAGCATGGTGAAACAACAGGTAGAGCTGCTGCCTCTCAGCGAGCAGGTCCTTGGTTCAAACCCCGGTCCAGGGGCCTTTCTGGGTGGAGTTTGCATGTTCTCTCCCTGCATGCGTGGGTTTTCTCCGGGTACTCCGGTTTCCTCCCACAGTCCAAAAACATGCATGTTAGGCTGATTGGTAACTCTAAATTGTCCCTAGGTGTGAGTGAGAGAGTGAATGGTTGTTTGTCTCATTTGTCTCTATGTGGCCCTGTCATGGACTTGCGACACATCCAGGGTGTACCCCGCCTGTTAGGAGTGCGCGGGGAACCCAGATGATATGAGACCCAGAACGA